AGTTGCCTTAAAAGATTTGGAAGAGCTGTTTCTGTTTCGTTCTCCTTCTTCAAGAAAAGCACCCATGTATATCTTGTGTAGTCATCTACTATAACAAGAGTATACTTTCTTCCACTTAAACTTGCTGGATCCACTGGTCCAAAGAGATCCATATGTAGAAGGCTTAGAGATCGAGAGTTTGCATCCACATCTTTTGACTTAAAAGATGACTTGAATTGCTTTCCTTTTTGACATGCTTCACATATCTTATCCTTCGTGTACGACACTTCGGGTAGTCCTCTCACGAGATTTCTTTTGGCGAGCTTGTTTATAGTCTTCAAGTTCAGATGGCTTAGTTTGTTGTGCCATTCTTGATTGAGATCTGCATTACTTTTGGCCACAAGACAAACGTTAGCGTTAGAAGAATTTAAGGATATTACATACATGTTCTTCTTTCGTTGACCCATTAAGGCTGTCTTGCCATCCTTCGTGTTCACGATTTTGCATTCGTCTTTGGAGAATTTTACATTGTATCCTTTGTCACAGAATTGACTTGTGCTTAGGAGATTGAACTTCAGTCCTTCAACATAAGAGACATCTTGTATTGTTATTCCCTTTTTGATGATGTCCCCTTTTCCAAGAGTTTTGCCACTGTTTTCTCCTCCAAAGATAACTTTGGTTCCATCTACTTCTATAAAGTTACTCAACATTATTTTGTCACTAGTCATATGTCTAGAGCATCCACTATCAACATACCATATGACTTGTTTTTCCTGCATTAAAGATTATGTGTTTTTAGGTACCCATTGAGTTTCAGGTCCTTGAGGGTTAGCAGTCAACTTTGGAACCCACATCAACCTAGAGTATCCACGACTCATCCTTGGTCCTTTATATCCATTAGATGTACGATAATCATAATGAATGCTGGCAAAGACTTTAGCATTATATCTTTTACGAAGATATTCCTGAGGAGGATTCTCATAATGCTTGAGATGATTAGTTTATTTACGCAGATGAACCTTTTCAAATACTGCTCTAGAGAGAGGTTCTGGGTAATCAACCCAATCTTCTTCTGATGGCCCAGTCCATCCATTGCCATACCCAGATCTTATGAAGGATCTTTCGGGTTGTCTGATTTGTCCGTTCTTTGAATTTCCTTGATTAGGATTCTTTCGTGTAACTTTCGGACGATATTACCTCTGGTTAACATTTGTCTTTTTCTGGGATCGAGTATTCCTGTTAGGCTGACCTCTTTTATGGTTTAGATCTTGTCTATTGCCATTTGGTCCATTCCTCCTGACATAAATTTGTCTAGGGTTGCCTTTAACAGTTTTCTCTTTTCCAGATTCCACAACACGTTATACAGCCGTTCCTTTCGGTTGGCTTGTTGTATGTGGTGTTTCGACATTGTTAACTGCCATCATAGGCTCAGACACCTGGGTGGGTCCTTGAACAAATGCAGCCTCGAAGCTTTCGTGTGGATATGCATTCGTGGATTTGTTCAATTCGACTTGTGAAGAGGAGCTGGGGTTAAAACCAATCCCAGTTCTTTCCCCGGGCAGTCTAGATTCATTCATCATTCTATCCATTAGATTGGATGAATTATTGAATTTATCCAAGACTTCAAGCAGTTCTTGCTCTCTCTTCTCTTTTGCTGTGCATTGCTCCTTTAGAGCGAGAACATTTTTCTCAAGTTGCTCCTTAGCAGTGACTAGCATATTGTTCTCAATACGAACTTGCTTTAGTTCATTATAGCTAATCATGAGCCGAGAGTTCTCCTCCTTAAGTTTGGAGTAAGTGCTATTTATCACCTTGAACCTCCTCATCATTTCGGTAACAGATTCATTGGAGGTTTGACTTCCCACAGAACTTGACTCAGCTGAATAACAAGATAATGAATGAGAGTTTACCTCATCTTCATCTGCCATGAGGCACAGTTCGTCTGACTCTTGGCTGAATAGGCACAGCAGTCCTTTCTCCTCATCAGTGTTTTCGTCTTCTGAGCTCGAACTTGAGGAGCTACTTTCGGTTGCAACAGTGTCAGAAGTTTCGTTTACTACCATCGCCTTCCTTCTTCCTTCTTTTCTGGAGTTTGATGATTCGGACTTGTCGCTCCTTTTATATCTTTCTCCAGTCTCTTTTGAGGGACTTGTGGTAGTGTTGTTATCTTGATGCTTGCTCACAATAGGATGAGGACAGTTCGCCTTGAAGTGTCCTGGCTTTCGGCAATTATAGCACAATAGTTGCGAGTCCATGTTTTCGGTTTTTGTGGTTTGAGGGGAATTCTCATGCTTTTTTCGATGGCCCGATCGTTGTTGGTCTTGAAAGTTGTTCTTTCTCATGAACCTTTTCATTTTCCTAACAAATAGTGCATATTGTTCATCAGATAAAAAATCACAAGAGTTAGATTTCGACCTGTTGGATGTTGATGCTGATTGATTTGCCACGAGAGCAATGTTTCTCGTTTCTGATTCTTCGGCATCTTTCGGTTCATGTTCGAACTCATATGCTTTGAGATCACTGAAAATCTTGGTCGTGCTTGTTGTTTTCATGTCTCGATTATCCCTCATTGCAATAACCTTCATTTCCCATGATTTTGGTAACCCACGAAGAATCTTCAGATTCATCTCCTTTTCAGTTAGCTCTTTCCCGAGATCTGACAAATCGCCCATAAGTCTGGTGAATCTGAGTTCCATCTCCATGATTGTTTCATTTGGCAGCATTTTGAAATCTTCAAATTTTTTCATGGCCATTGTCAGTTTGTTGTCCTTTTCTTGCTCGTCTCCTTCTCCCAAACTCATTAGGACATTCCACACTTCTATGGCATTTTGGCACTTTCGGACTCTGGGAAACAAGGAATCATCCAGAGAGTTGTAGAGAATATTTCTTGCTACATTATCCAGATTTGCCCTTGTTCATTCGTCCGTGGTATACTGGTCTTTCGGCTTTGGTATCATCTGTGCAGCTCCTGCTCCCTGTGCGGCTGCTTGTGCATTTGCCATCATGAACGTGATTGGTTCGGTTTTTATGACGTCCCACATTTCATCATGAATAGAGCATAGGAGAGCCTGCATTCTTAACTTCCAGTCATCAAATTTAGCAAGACTAAAGGCAAGTTGCTTAGAGCGATGTGCATGTTCCTTTTCCATTTTTAGAGATAAAAAGCGTGCAAAGAAAATATGCAAGATTTTCAAGAGATTTTTTATAAGGGATCTACCAGGCAGTAAACGCAAAGCCTTTACCGAACAAGGTATTGGCTCTGATACCACTTGTTGGTCCCAATAGAATGTAGCGAGAGTCTAGAGGAGGGGGGGGGGGGGGGGTGAATAGACTCTTTTCGTGAAATGCCCTAAAAGTCACCTTTCGGTGTTTTGGCGCAGCGGAAAAGTCAGATTCGTTTTAAATGCTTTGCACGAGTTTACGAAATTAGGAAAGCTTTCGTTAAGGGAGATAAGAGGATGATATGAATGCAGAAATAAAATGCGTAAGTAAAGAGATAGAAGGGACAAGAGATTTTATAGTGGTTCGGCTAACGTTGCCTACTCCACTCTTCTTCCACAACTGATGGAAGGATTGCACTATTACTCTTTAGTACAATTACACAAAGACCTCCTTGAGCACTAAGCCGGACAACCTTCGTAGGTTTTTCAACTTCTCGAGTTTACTCCGCCTCAATCAACTTCTTCTTCAGAGTTGAGGTTGGTAGAAAATGATTTCTTGATTTCTCCAACGTGATGAAGTCTTGACAATGAGAGATGATTGCTTCGAACAAATGGCAAGACTTCTTTAAGGTGTAAGAAAATGATCAGTAATCTTCTTCAAGTAACTTAACACCTTAACACTGGTTCACAAAAGCTTTTGGAGATTTGAGAGCGTTCAAGAGCTTTTGCAAGTGAATGAGTCGAGTGAAAAGAACCAGCACCTTCTTAGTTGATGAAGCTTGGTTTATATAGGTGATGAAAATTCATCCGTTGGAGGGAGATGAAATTTTCGAACTTTTTAACCAGTGGACAAGGACCGGGGAGCTTCATGCATTAAATGCTCCATTAATGAGGTTGTACCATGTAGCCGTTGAAGGTATGGAAAGCATTAGGGTTTTGTCCTTTAGCTCCAGGAGATGGTACACCTTCATTTAATGCTCCTTGATAAGAGTGTCCCATAAGGTGAGGTCCTTATTGTCCTAGGATGTTGTCAAATCAGACAGGTAGAACATTCTTCTCGTTATTGAAGAGAAGTAATGCTTGGTAAGAATCGTCTTTAACAAAACTGTCCTTTCGTGATGGTTGACAACTCCTGCTTTACTTTCGTTGTTGTTCATCATGCCTTGTGTCTTCTTTCGTCTTGGAGATCCTAACAACTAGTCATAACTCATTTTCGTGTGTTTGTCTAGCTTAACACGAATTACAGAGGAGTTATGACAACTCTAGTCTAGGGCGAAAGCAGCGATCGAAAAAGCTAATAGTTAGGGGTCTACTTTTCTACATTACATTGGTATCATCAAAATCCTAATACAATGTTCCTAACAATCTTCACTGGTGTAGGATTTGGTTCGTCATAGGCTTTTTCAGCAACATACAACCTACACATATCTTTTTTGTATATCTAATTTGCCACAATATAGCCAATTATAAAATAGGGTTTACAATAATAAATACTAACACAAGGAAATGTACAATTGCTTGAAGGACTACCAAATGTAGTAAAAAGAATGATCAAATTTGTGATGCTTGTCAAAAAAGCAAATAAGTGAAATCACCGTTCAAATCCAAGTCCCATAAATCAACATCATGTCCACTAAGCTTATTATATATGCTTATTTGGTCCTGTTGATCTTGTAAATCTAAGTATAAATGATAAAAAATACGCAATGGTAGTAGTAAATGATCTAGTTGGATTGGTTTTTTTTCTTTAATTTCTATGTTGAATCGTTGAATTTCTACGTATGTGTATTTAACTCATTTATTTGAATAGTACATATAAATAATTTAAAAATACGTAAAATAAAAAAGAATGCACATAAGTACTGCACGAAGTCCAAAGTTTTAATTTCATCATAAACATTTTATTATATTATTGTTCCCAAACATTTTATTATATTATGTTGAAGCTATTGAAAGCTCTTGAAAGTTTTCCATCATCTTGATACATAACATCAAAAACATAACATTTGTGCCAATTCATCAAATGCAACATTTGAGTCATTAATTATGCCACAGATTTCTTCTTCTCAAAGGGCAGCAGCCTGTTTACAGCCAACTTGTTCTTGTAAGCTGACTTCATGAATTCACCCCATGTGAACTCATTGTACAAGCTTTCTTCTCCTTCCTCCATGAAACAAGATAATGGTGCTATCTTTTCACTCAGAGGTGGTCCTCCAAAGTAGATCATAGACAACCTAGGTTCCATACTGTCTGCCAACACTCTGTGCTTTACACTCTTAAATCTCCCATTACTCATCACCTTCAATTCCACCAAAATTCAATTACTAATTAAATAAATGTGATGTCATAATCTATCACTTTTAATTTGTATATAAACTAATTTAATACCCACAAGAAAAAATTTAAAATAATTTTTTTTCTCAAATGGTTGAATTGGCTTTATTTGATTAATTCATAATAGGTCACGTTTTGCTAATTTGCAAGTAGTAATTAAATATAAAATATTTTGATACATAAACGAATTACATTATTTAGAAAAATAAATTAGTATAATTGTGTAAAATAATTGGGGAATAAAGTATGCTATTTTACTAAGTATGTGCTTAAGAATAAAATAATATCTAAAGGATTATAAATAAAATTAGTTGTAGTTTGGGTCACATTATGGACAAGCAGGGATTGATTTGAGATTTATAAGTATTCATCAAGATGTGATGGATACGACTTTCTAATTAATATTTCTGCAAAATAAAAAAAAATAAAATAAACTCTTCATTTCAAATTGTTGTAGATATGAGTAACGGAATGAATTTCCATTTTAGGAATATGACATTATGAAACGTTTGAATGTAATAATAATAGTTAATGAGATAAGATATTGTTGTAAATGGAGTTTTAGCTAAAATTCAATATAGTTTCTTACCACTCCGTTTTAATGTGATAATAATAGTTAATGAGATAAGATATTGTTGTAAATGGAATTTTAGCTAAAATTCAATATAGTTTCTTACCACTGATAGACCGACAATTATTATAAAGTTTATAAAAAATAGATTGAAAAAACTCTTTACTTGAAATTGTTGTAGATATGACTAACGGAATGAATTTTTTTTTTGAGAAATATGACGTTATGAAATGTTTGAATGTGATAATACAATGAATGGGATAAGATATTGTTGTAAATGGAGCGTTAGTTAAAATTTAATAAAGTTTCTTACCACCAACAGTTCGACAGTCATAATAAAATTAAAAAAAAAAAAAAAGCTCTTTAGTTGAAATTGTTGTATGACTAATTAACGAAATGAATTTTCTTTTGAAGAATATGACGTTTTGAAACGTTTGAATGTCATAATAATAATAATGAGTGGTATAAGATATTGATATAAATGGAGCATTAGCTGAAATTCAATACATAGTTTAATTTCTTACCACCGACAATCATAATACTAAAAATAAAAATAAAAATAATAAAAATACAAAAAAAAGGGAAAAAAAAGAACTAGGAATTGAATTAACACTGTTATATGTTTTTATTTTGTTACATACATACATACATATGTGTGTGTGTGATGAGGTTCCTATGAGATTAATTGAGGATTAAAAAAGTGTGTGTGCATATTACGCATTATGATGTGTGCATAACTGCATAATAAGGCTGTTTGTATATTAAGCATGTGTTCTGTGCAACATAGGACATGCTTAATATGCACACATGCATTTTTAATTTCTTAATTAATCTCATTCATATATTTATTTTTTAATGGTTGAAATTGGTTTTTATAAACACATGGGGAGGTTGGTTCTCATATGATCTCTAATATATATATATGAGTGTATTTTTGCGGTGTTAATTGGCAATGATATTGTCAATTTTCATAACATACTTAGCAATAAGTTAGATGCATTATTCATAAAATTTGAAATACTCAATATCACAAATTAGGGATAATGTCATAATGGTAGTATGGTTATAGATAGGACAACTGGTGTGTTTCCCAAATCTAACAAGGAATAATAATTTGTTGTAAATTGAATATCCTTAATATAGCATATTATCAAGGAAAAGAATATTTCCTGTTGAAGTGAAAAAGAATGATAAGCAAGATTTTCTTTTTAAAAAAAAAATAAAATAAAAATTGTTTGGTTCTTCTGAAACTAAAAAAAAAAAAAAGAAAAAAAAAATTGCATACCTGCAAAGAATCACCAACGTTGATGAAAAGGGAGTGGTGATCAGGTGGGACAGAAAGCCATGTCCCATCTCCAACTGAGATTTGCAGTCCTGTTGTGTTGTTTGATCTCACAACAGAGATCACTTGTGGGTCTGTATGCTCTCCAAACCCAATCAGATCTCCACCGTTCATTATCCCTCCTGCAGTTTGGAGCTCCGGGCATGGCGGATAATGGTTTACCCTAAACCAACAATCACTGTTCTCATCCCTTATTAGCCTGCTTAACACATCCTTTGGCTCCATCTTCAACCCCTCAGCTATCATCTCCAAAACCTCACACGCAGTGTTTCTCACAGCCCCAACATACTCCTTCACAAGGCACCTATATTTATGCAGTTTGCATAAGCAATTTTAATATCAAACACAATGTTGCAAAAAACGCTAGGCGCCCCCTAGGCGCCAAGGGCGCCGATTTTTTATTTTTTATTTATTTTTTATTTTATTTTTTTAATTAAAAAAAATTTAAAATTAAAAATTTTCAAAATTTAGTACTAAAATATAAGGTTTTCATAGTTATTTCTTAGAAACTATTTACAAAAGTGGTTGTAAAATTGTTCAAAAGATTGTTGAAACTATCTAAATACATAAAAAACTAAAATTAAGCGCTAAAGAAGCATTTTTTTGAGAAATTAGTGGACCAAACCGCCTTCGGCTGTTTGCGGTGTGTAGATCTCGAAAAAATACGCGATTTGAAAAAAAAATTGTCCAAATCGAACAACCGAGTTAAAAGTTATGCCTTCCGAAAGTTTTCCGACATTTAAAAAAAAAAAAAAAAAAAAAAAAAATCGCCGAACCGGCCGGTTAGGTGGTCTAGGCGGCCGGCCGCGGAGGAGGCCGCCGAGGCCATTCCTCGCGGCGGCCTCCTACCGCCTAGTGCCTAATCGGCGCCTAGGCGCGATTTTTGCAACACTGGATTCAAACACTTACTACTAAGTCAAAAGGTATAGCTGCTAGTAGCGAATTACCAACTTTATTTTCATATACACCCACATATTTTCGAGACGATGCTGCTGAACTTGGCCTTTACAGGGCCTCCGCCCAACAAATATTTCTATAAATTAAATAAATGAAGCTAAGATAGTTTAAGAAAGATTTGTTAATTACTTGAAAAGTTGAGAGTTGCCCGGAATGGTGATGGAGTTGTGGGTGGAGAGGAAAAGGTATTCAACCCAACCCACATCACCATTAGGGCCGATTTTCTTGTGGCCATAGCCAAAGGGGTTGGGATGGCCAACTTGTTCCTTTTCAAGCTGAGGCAAGTTGAAGAACTTCACAGCTTCTTCTTCTAATTTTGTCATGGATTCCAAGGGGACACCATGGTTGACAACCTTAAAGAATCCGAACTCATAGCAGGCCTTTACTATCTGGTCTCTGGCCGTGGGATCCAACAGGTCTATCATCGGAATAACGGTGGCAGCCGAAGTAGTAGGGTTGCATGCTTTGACCTGAGATAGGTTTTCAAGAATTTGTTGGGGCAAAACCACCATAGCTCCAAGGATAATCTTAGCACAGTGCTCTGATGGTATTGATGGAGTTGAAATGGGCTAAATGGTGATGCACGAGAGTGGAATATATATTATGGGTTGGAAGGTGTCACAAATTATGAAGGAAAGACATTTGCATTGGCTTAGCCGTGGTGTATTGCTTGCCAATTTATGCTATATATGGTGAGAATTTTTTTTTTCTAAGCTGTTAGTTTGTTAGGATAAGATATTCTAGTTTTGAAGTTGGTGATTGAAATGTCTTTTTATTATTATTATTATTATTATTATTATTATTATTATTATTATTATAAGGGAAGGGGATGTAAATGTAATCGTCTATTGAGGCTCAAACCCAGCAACTTGGTACTATTGAAACACAAGGTCTTTGGTATGTTTTTTTTTTTTTTTAAATAAAAGAGCTAATTCATTAATTATACGATGAAAAAAAATTACAATAAGATCGATGGAATAATAAAATATTTTTACATTCAGACATTGAAACAAATTTTCAATGCTACACGAAACTTCAACTTGGTATGTCTTTATTAATATACATAATTAAAATTAATGATAAGTTTAAAGATATTGAACGAAAATACAAGGCACGTTGCACTTAACAAGTGCGTGTTATGCACGCGCTTCAAAAGTGTAGACGTCTACCCGGCTTTCTCTTTTTATTTTATTTTTTCTTTTCTTTCTTTAATATTTTCTTTCTTTAATATATTATTTAAGTAAGTGGATGATGATGATGATGTGGCAATAGCCGAAATTAGTTTGATGTAGAGTGAAAATATTCTAATCACATTCTAGAGTCTAGAGCTGTCAAAAATGTCTCAACCCGCCGGTTTAGACATGTTTAACTATGATTTTAGACGGGTCAGTTTGGAGATATCACGGTAAATTATGATATGTAATTGTGTGTACCATGCATGGTGTACAAAGTTGCAAAACGATGCCGTTCCAAATTATATATATATATATATATATATATATATATATATATATATATATATATATATATATATATATATATATATATATTGTTAGGAACACTTGTATTAGGATTTTGATGATACCAATGTAACCTAGAATGTAGACCCCTAACCTTTGCTTTTGTTTAATCGCTGCTTTCGTTCTAGACGAGAGTTGCCATAACTCACACTGTAATTCGTGTTAAGCTAGTCAAACACACAAAAACGAGTTATGCTTAGATGTTAGGGCAATCAAGACGAAAGAAGATTTAAGGCACGAAGCATGAAGCGTCTACAACGGAAGTTTATCAGGAGTTGTCATCTACCACGAAGAGACAGTCTTATTTATGACAATCCTTCAAGACATTCTTCCTTTCCAATAGCAAGAAGAATGTCTTCACTGTCTGACTTGACAACATCCTAGGATAAAAAAGGACCTCAACATATGGGACACGCATACCAAGGAGCATTAAATGAAGTTGTACTATTCTAAAGCTAAAAGACAAAACCCTAAGGCTATCCATGCCATCAACAGCTACAAGGTACAAAACCCATTAATGGAGCATTTAATGCGGGAAGCTCCCAGGTCCTTACCCACTGGATATTAGGTTTGAAAATTTCATCTCCCTCCAACGGATGGAATTTTCCTCACCTATATAAACCCACCTTCATCAACTAAGAAGGTGCTGGTTCTTATCACTCGATCTAACTATCAAGCAAAAGCTCTTAAACCTTCTCAGTTCTCATCAAGCTTTTGCGAACCAGTGTTAAGGTGTGAAGATACTTGAAGAAGTCCATTGATCCTCATCTTACACCTTTAAGAAGTCTTGCAACTTGTTCGAAGCAACCATCCTTCATCAGTCAAGACTTCACCACGTTGGAGAAATCATAATTCATTTTCTACCAACCTCAACTCTGAAGAAGAAGTTGATAGAGGCGGAGTAAACTCGTGGAATTGAAAAACCTGCAGGAAGCTGTCCGGCTTAGTGATCAAGGAAGCTTCTTGTGTATTTGTACTAACGAGTGATAGTGCAAACCTTCCATAAGTTGTGGAGGAAGAGTGGAGTAGGCAAAGTTGGCTGAACCACTATAAAAATTCTCGTCTCCTTATCTCTTTACTTACTTTATTTACTTTCTGCATCATACTATCTTTCGCGCCCAAACCGAAAGTTTCCTCAATAACGTCAAACCGTGCAAAGCAAGTAAAACGAATTCAACATTTCCGCTGCGCCATAACACCGAAAGGTTGTTATTCGGCAAAATACGAAAAGAGTCTATTCACCCCCCCCTCTAGACTCTCGCTATAACCCTACCAAGACCAACAAGTGGTATCAGAGCCGATACCTTGATCGGTAAAGGCTTTGCATTTACTGCCTGGTAGATCCCTTATCAAAAATCTCTGAAAATTTGCACTTTTTCAGCTTTTTACGCATTTTTCTTGCAAAAATGGAAAAGGATCATGCTAACCGCTCTAAGCAGCTTGCTTTTAGCTTATCTAAATTCGATGACTGGAAGGTCAGAATGCAGGCTCTTCTTTGCTCTATCCATGACAAAATGTGGGATGTAATCACCACTGGACCAATCACAGTCATGATGGCAAACACACAAGCTGCAGCTCAAGGAGCCGGCGCTGAGCAGATGATACCGAAACCAAAGTCACAGCTCACCTCGGAAGAAAGAACAAGGGCGAACCTGGACAATGTAGCACGAAACATTCTTTACAACTCTCTCGACGATTCCTTGTTCCCCAGAGTTCGAAAATGCGAGAATGCCATGGAGATCTGGAACGTTCTAATGAACCTGGGTGAAGGTGATGAACAGGAGAAGGACAACAAGCTGACAGTGGCTATGAAGAAGTTTGAAGACTTCAAGATGCTGCCAAATGAAACTGTCATGGACATGGAACTTAGGTTCACCAGACTCATGGGTGATTTGACATATCTTGGAAAGGAAATGACATAGAAAGAAAAGAATCTGAAGATACTTCGTGGTCTGCCGAAGTCTTGGGAGATGAAAGTCATCGCAATGAGAGACAACCGAGACATGAAGACTACGAGCACAACCAAAATCTTCAGTGACCTCAAGGCTTACGAGTTTGAGCATGAACCGAAGGATGCGGAAGAATCTGAAACGAGAAATATAGCTCTCGTGGCTAACAAACAAGCATCAACTTCTGACAGGTCAAAATCTAACTCTTGTGAATTCTTATCTGATGAACAATATGCTTTGTTTGTTAGAAAAATGAAGAGGTTTATGAGAATGAACAACTTCCAAGACCCTCATCGTTCGAGCCACCAAAGGCAACACGAAAGCTCGCCTCAAACTTCAAAGCCTGATACTTCAGACTCGCAATTGTTGTGCTACAACTGTCGGAAACCAGGACATTTCAAGGCAAACTGTCCTCACCCAATTGTGAGCAAGCATCAAGACAACAACACTACCAAAAGCTCATCCAAAGAAGCCGGAGATAGTTACAAAAGAAATGATAAGCCAGAATCATCAAGCACCAGAAACGAAAGAAGGAGAAAGGCTATGGTAGTGAACGAAACTCCTGACACTGTTGAGGCCGAAAGCAGTTCCTCAAGCTCAAGTTCAGATGACGAAAGTACTGAAGAGGAAAAAGGACTGCTATGCCTGTTCAGCCAAGAATCAGAAGATCTATGCCTTATGGCTGACGAGGATGAGGTAAATTCTCAATCATCCTCTTGTTATTCAGCAGAGTCCAGTTCTGTGGGGAGTCAAACTTCCAATGAATCTGTCACCGAAATGATGAGGAAGTTCAAAGTGATCAAAAGCACATACTCTAAACTTAAGGAGGAGAACTCTCGGCTTATGATTAGCTATAATGCGCTAAGGCAAGTTCGAGTTGAGAACATAATGCTAGCCATTGCTAAGAAGCAACTTGAGGAAAATGTTCTCGCTCTGAAAGAGCAGTGCACAGCAAGAGAAAAGAGAGAGCAAGAATTGCTTGAAGTCTTGAATAAATTCAACAATTCGTCCAATCTAATGGACCGAATGGTGAATGAATCTAGACGGCCCGGGGAAAGAACGGGAATTGGTTTTGACCCCAGCTCCTCTTCACAAGTCGGCTTGAACAAATCCACGAATGCTTATTCTCACGAAAGTTTTCAAGCTGCATTTGTTCAAGGTCCAACCCAGGTGTCTGAGCCTATGACGAAAGTTAACGATGTCGCCACACCACAATCAACAAGCCAACCGAAAGGTAAGGCTGTACAACGAATTGTGGATCCTAGAGATGAAAGATCTTTCAAAGGCAATCCTAGACAAAAACATGTCAAAAGGAATGGACCAAATGGCAATAGACAAAATCTAAACCATAAGAAAGGTCAGCCTAACAAGAATATTCAATCAAGGAAAAGGCCGAATGTTAACCAGAGGCAATATCGTCCAAAACCAACACGAAAGAATCCTGTTCAAGGAATCCCGAGAAATGGACGAATCAGACAAAACGAAAGATCTTTCAAAGGATCAGGTTATGGCAATGGATGGACTGGGCCATCAGAGGAAGATTGGTTTGATTACCCAGAACCTCTATCAAGAGCTGAATTTGAGATAATTCATCTGCGTAAACAAAACAATTACTCCAAGTATTATGAAAATCCTCCTGAAGAATATTTTCACGAGAGATATAATGCTAAAACCTTTGCCAATATCCATTATGATTACCGCACATCTAATGGGTATAGAGGACCGAGGATGAGACGAGGAAACTCTAGGTTCATGTGGATTCCAAAGCTGACATCTAATCCTCAAGGACCCGAAACTCAAGGGGTACCTAAAATCATATAATCTTTCTTGCAGGACAAACAAGTCATATGGTATGTCGATAGTGGCTGCTCAAGACATATGACTGGTGATAAAACAATGTTGAGCAATTTCAAGAAAGTCGATGGACCTAAAGTCGTCTTTGGAGGACAAACCAGTGGTAAAACTCGTGGAACAGGAAACATCATAAAAAAGGGAATAACCATCCAAGATGTAGCCTATGTTGAAGGATTAAACTTCAATCTCCTGAGCATAAGTCAGTTTTGTGACAAAGGCTACAAAGTTGAATTCTCCAAGGACAATTGCAAAATAATCAACACGAGAAATGGAGAAATCGCATTAACTGGCCAAAAGAAGAAAAACATGTACGTAATCTCGTGGAATTCTTCTAACGCTAACGTTTGCTTTGTGGCTAAAAGTAATGCAGATCTTAGTCAAGAATGGCACAACAAGCTAAGTCATCTAAATCTGAAAACGATCAACAAACTAGCCAAGAAAAATCTTGTGAGAGGCTTAGCCGAAGCATCCTACATAAAAGACAAAATTTTTGAGGCATGTCAAAAGGGAAAACAAATCAAGTCATCTTTCAAGTCCAAGGATGTGGATGCAAACTCTCGTTCCTTAAGCCTTCTACACATGGATCTCTTCGGACCAGTTGATCCAGCAAGTCTGAGTAGAAGAAAGTATAATCTCGTCATAGTAGATGATCACACGAGATATACTTGGGTGCTTTTCTTGAAAAAAAAAAGAACAAAACCGAAGTCGTTCTTCCTAATCTCTTGAGGCAACTGCAGACAGAAAAAGAGGTCAAGATCATTCGGATAAGATCAGATCAAGGAACTGAGTTTGTTAACAAGGTCATAAAAGAGTTCTGTGCACAAAATGGAATCTTTCATCAACTCTCAGCAGCACGAACTCCTCAACAAAACGGAGTAGCCGAAAGGAGAAACAGAACCCTGAAAGAGGCAGCACGAACAATGATCTCACACTCAGGCTTACCAAAGCGGTTTTGGGCCGAAGCCATAAACACAGCATGCTATACACAAAACAGATCCCTAATCAACAAATCCTACAACAAAACCCCATATGAACTATGGAAAGGTAAAGTACCGAGTATTGCCTATTTTCATGTCTTTGGTCGCAGGTGCTTTATTCACAATAATGGAAATAATCATTTGAGAGCCTTTGACAAAAGAGCAGACGAAGGATTGTTCATGGGTTATTCCTCAGTAAGTAAGGCCTTTAGAGTCCTAAACAAACGAACAATGGTGATTGAGGAATCCTTCACGTCAAATTCGACGAACTATCTGAGAAAAATCCAGCTGGTATTGAATCATCAAGTGATCCAAGTCAAAACTCTCAACCAAACGAAGAAGAAGTCTCAGATGAAGAAGATATCTTAACTTCCTACACGAAATATCAATTGAAGATCTCTGAGCCCGAAACTACAACTCAAGAAAATGTTGATGTACAACAAGACACTCCTGATGTTCAAGCACCATTCGAACCCATGATCTACGTTCAGCTACCTTATATTCCTGAAATGGATGCACAAAATCAGCAAAATGTTTTTGAACCCGATCTTAGATGGTTAAGAGATCATCCTCCGGATCAAGTGATTGGAAATGTTCAAGAAGGTGTACGAACAAGAGCCTCCCTGCACGAAAATATGATGGCATGTTTCTTATCACAAATGGAACCAAAATCCATCGAAGAAGCTTTAAGTGATCCTCACTGGGTGATAGCCATGCAAGAAGAGCTTAATCAATTTGAACGAAATGACGTATGGGAACTTGTCACAAGACCAACACATCAGAATGTCATTGGGACTAAGTGGGTTTTTAGAAACAAAATGAGCGAAGATGGACTCATTGTTAGGAACGAGGCTCGTCTTGTAGCTAAAGGTTATTGTCAAGAAGAAGGAATTGACTTGGATGAAACCTTCGCCCCCGTAGCTAGACTTGAGGCTATACAAATTTTCTTAGCCTATGCAGCTTACAAAGACTTCAAAGTCTATCAAATGGATGTCAAAAGTGCTTTCTTGAATGGTCTTCTTGAAGAAGAAGTCTATGTTGAGCAACCACCTGGCTTTGCAGTCGACTTTGGACAAGAAAAAGTCTATCATCTCAAAAAGGCATTATATGGCTTAAAGCAAACTCCAAGAGCTTGGTATGATACGCTTTCACACTTTCTTATTTACTGCAGTTTCACGAAAGGAGCCGTAGACAAAACGCTCTTTCATATTAAAGATGATGATCATATTCTTCTAGTGCAAATCTATGTTGATGACATCATCTTCGGAAGTACGAATCCTATTCTGTGTGAAAAGTTCTCAAACCTTATGCAAGGAAAATTTGAAATGAGCATGATGGGAGAACTAAACTATTTTCTGGGATTGCAAGTACAGCAATGCTCAGATGGAATTTTTATTAGTCAAGCCAAATATACCAAGGATCTATTTCGAAAGTTTGGCATTGATGGAAAGACATCTGTCAAAATTCCTATGAGCACATCTCTTAGAATGGATATTGACAACGAAGGAAAAGATGTGGATCAGAAAAACTTTCATGGTATAATCGGGTCTCTTCTATACCTAACAGCAAGCAGACCTGACATTTCGTTTGCTGTTGGAGTATGTGCGAGATTTCAAGCTAAACCTAAAGAAAGTCACTTGAGTGCAACCAAAAAGATCTTGAGATACCTTAAAGGGACAAAAAGTGTTGGACTTTGGTACCCGAAAGAAGGAACTTTCGATCTCGTTGGCTATTCGGATGCCGACTTTGCTGGATGCCGAATTGATCGAAAAAGCACCTTAGGAACCTGCCAGTTCCTAGGGGGAAGACTTGTGCCTTGGTTTAGTAAAAAGCAACATTCCATTGCTACCAGCACGACTGAGGCCGAATATATAGCAGCTGGAAGTTGCTATGCTCAAATTCTTTCGATGACTCATCAGTTAAAGGATTATGGCATAAATGCACGAGAAGTGAGCATCAAATGTGACAACACTAGTGCAATTGCCATCACGCACAACCTATTCTACATTCACGAACTAAACACATTGTTATTAAGTATCATTTTATTCGTTATCATGTTGAGAGAAAAGATATATCTCTTGATTATGTCAATACTGATGATCAGCTTGCAGATATTCTCACAAAACCCTTGAGTGAAGCAAG